GGAGTGTCCCGCGAAAAGACCATCACTACCGCCACTGTTATCACATCAGTTATCTAAAGCGTGTAACAGGCACTTTAGGATTCACTCCTTTTGGATCAGTAAACGGATACAAGAGTGGACAGATAACACACACATAGAGATAAAACATCAAAATGCTGATACATAAAGATGTATGTGCTCATTAGCCTGAAGAATATGGTAAACGCTACACACTCGTACAGCGTCATTGATCACTTTCGAAAGGTGAATGAGGAAGAACGCAATGCGTCGCATAGGAGAGCAATGCGCTTAAAATGGACAGTGGATGTGGGTGCAGCGGTTTTTTGTGCACCAAAATGGATTCAGCGAAGGCCATCTGAAGTGCACCAGGTAAATCGATATCCAGTTTTAGACAGCCCAGTCGACCACACACATACACACAAGCAACCGCGTTGAAGCGGAGGAACCGTAGACCGACCAAAATGGTTCACATGACAAAGGCGCGGAAACAAAGCGCACAAGAAGGCAAAAACAACGCTATGCACCCTAGTGCGCTATAACTGCAAAAGGGCATTACGATCGATCAAGTGCTGATATCGGAAATGAAAAGAGACGAGCAAACCAACAACGTGAAGTCAAGGGTGATTATGAACATGCGAATCGACGAAGCGACACAAGAAGTGGTAGGAGCTGACGGAAGAAATGGACGGACGGTAGGAAAAAATCATCATCTTCCTCGGTGGCCACTTCGACAACCTTGGTTTGGACTGTAAGGGCCCCAAAGGAGTGAGAGGTACAATAATCAGCATGTGAAACAGAATACACTGGGTGGAATAGAGGAAATTGTGAAAGAGAACCTGATCCCCTTTCATTCAGCGGCACACGAGTGAGGAAACCTGAGAATGAGGATAGACAATTATTTGGCGCGGAAAACACGACAGTGAATCAACATCATGTGAATAATCCGGCCTAACAATGCTAGGGTAACGACAGTTGCGGCCCGATTCAGACATAGGAATAGAGGCTGAAACACTTTGCTTACGTAGCAGGTGAGCAGGAAATAGACACTCACATCGCAACTCACATCAACATCAGCGTTTGCGACGGGTTCTTCACAGCTGCTATTCGGATATTCACAACTGATACATGAGTGGGACTATAGGTAAACATCTAAAGCCAAGGTGCCTACACTTCGCTAACACCAGACGGTCACAAACGGCACGTCATCGAGCGAAAATAAGACGGGATCAGAAAGGTAATCCGCGTGTGGCTTTCACGGTCCCGCGATAGTACACGGTTGCCGTCATCATCATCAACACTTCAGCTAGAGGTAAAAGTGTCGCACCTAATGTGCCTCAATGCAATTCAATTACATAGAAGCAAAAGTAGACAAGAGCAAAAAATTATAGAATACAAAATAAAAATAAGATCATACTTTATTCTCATAGTAGGAGAGGCTAAGCGGAAGGGGGAGACAAATAAACTCACAAAACAGTCCCACTGAGATTGTGTTGCGGGAATGTCAAGTATCTCTGTAAACAGCAGTGCGTAGGCTGTGCCACACAGAGTTTAATTCCAGCCCGCAACGTGGCATGAAAAAAGTAAAAATGTTCTTTCGTAAACAGTGCGTCCTACGTGGTGATTCATTTCACCCACAAAATGAACCCCCGTGTCGTGATTCGGTGTTTGTGGGTCGTAAAAAACTCTCGGGGGTCCGCTTCGTCTTGTGATCGTGTGCGTCTAATCCCCCGTTCGCGTGCGTATCGTTCCGCTTCCGAGGACTTAGCACCTCACCCGAATACGTACGTGAATAGGGACCGTGCTCAGGTTACGCGCAACATTCGGCTAGGTTAACGCGACCAGTTCTGCGCAAATGCAGTAGAGGTTGCCTTTTGGTTGTGACAAGAAGTGTCTCCTAAACAAACGTGTTCATCATCTTTCGGATTCCAACCAGGGAGTCAAGAGTCACCAGCCGAGCCCAACTCCGATGTGAGGTCCTTCATTCATCTTGACGAAATCATCGTCCACCAACAACCCGGTCGGGCAAACAACGCACTTCGCGGGAGTCTGTGTACTGGCATTCCAAACACATGAACAAATCATGGAAACCTGGTGCGTGAGATAACGGTGCTGAGACGCTCACTCCCTTGTCTTGCACCATAAACAAGACGCCGAACACGCTCATTGCTCACGCAGTGTTCCCATCAGCTGTGACCTAAATTACGAAGGCACCGGTGATCAAAAAAAAACCCAGTCCCTGTCTGTCGGTCTGATGGGCCGGGTTTCATAATTCCAGTACGATGAAGCGGATGGCTGCATTGTAGACTCCACCATTCAGGACGTGAGTTAGATCACGCCGGTACCATAAGTGGTGAAGTGGAACTTCGAAATGTGCTTTGTCACTTCGTCCTCTATTGCACAGGCGCTGATACAGCTACCATAGAAATACACCTTAAAAGTTCGGTTATGAAATGAGAGCAAACAAGTCACTCGTGTCCAGTTCGAACTATGCAGTCAAACACACATCGTATGTGGAAGGCGAGAGGGATCAACAGTAATGTCTATAAATAAACAAATAGGTGTTCAGTATCGAATTCCGCGAGGCACGTCTAAGCGGGTAGAAGTTAAGCACCGAATTTGCCATGCATGGGTCACATGTTGACTCGCTGCACAAAAAATATCGCAGATGAGCATTTATCAGCCGGTCCGATGATATGCTGACAAGTTATTATGATAGTGTGTAAGCGCCTGTACTGAATAAGTTCGTCGAATAATCTAAAGAAACCTCAGTCGATGCGTTAGTTAGCGAAGCAAGATTGATATCGAAATGTGCTTCAGAAATGAATGTGAACCTCCGGCAGCCAGCAGTACTTTGCATACCAAGTGCATAGGTCGGATTCAAGGTGCAATGTGTTACCCCAATTACAATGGAGTGGAGTGGATTCTCCTGAGGATTGATCGGAAAAATCGTTTCATTTGTCGGACGTATGTGTGCGCAAGCGGGTGAAGTATAGACCATATTGTACATGGCACAACAGGACAACCGTAGCCAAATCGTGTCCACACAGCGTCAAGGGACATGACGAGTAGGACCCGATGAATGCAACAGCGCTTCTTGGTAAGCCATGAATAGATGTGCTCAGTATGTGTTGGAATAAGCCACTCTCAGTCTTAATTGTCAAGTAAAGAAACTGAACTGACCATCGACGCCAGGAATCGTACAAAATTATTGCGGAGAAGATGGTGCAAATTTATACGGAAATGGCTTATGGTGAACAGCGGTCAAACATCTGACGGTAGCTGTAAGTTTCGCACCAAAGAGACCAAGGTTCGCTGCCGCTGAGAACGGCTTTCAGTGTGATTTTGTATACCGTATCATTAAAGTGACAGAGAACGTTCCTACTGCCAAATGTGTGGCAGGTTTATCAAGACAGTCTTGGTCCCACAATACGTATACCAATTAAAGCAATCACCACCACATACGCTAAAGGATGGGACAACTTTCGAGTCTCCGTAGAGCTGAGCGCGTCGTAGTTGAGCACTGGCCACCACGCAAAGTTTATCCAAATTACCCACTTCAGTTGGTTGACCACAGCAACTCCACAACATCAGTGGGGTGGGCTGAATGGAACAGTCTGCGTGAGATACCTGCTGCAACATTTCTTGAGCCCAGTGGCTCCATCACGCCTTACAGTCGAGTCGCAAACGCTGGTCGCAATGTGCAAAGGGCAAGAGGGAATCGTCATCTGGGCTCCATCAGGTGTACCCAGCTTTCAAATATCCAGTGTACTAGGGAGACTTAAAGGAACATGGTGCCGCATAATACATAACGGAAACATGGCTACAGAAATCTATTTACCGTATTTTTCGAACTATGAGGTGCACTTAAAATCCCTATATTTGCCAACATAATCAGTAATGAGTCTTATATTCCGGTGCGCCTTATCTATGAATGGTTGTGCTGAGGCCTAGTGACCGCGAATCAATTTCTATGTTCACATTGCGACGAAAAATCTGTCAAAATGTCCTATTAAGACTTTGATTGTCGAAGCATAATCGCTGGTCAGGAACGTCGTTGAGTCAGCTTTCTATGTTGTCTACACAGACTTGTTTTGGGGTGGCAAACCCTGTGCAGGAGCCAACTGATTCGAGCGTTTCTGACGACGATCAACCAACCAACGATTCAATCATCCACGGTGCTATCCCTTACTGTGATATGTGTGATGGTTACTCCACTCTGCAAACTCACTTGGTCCAACAATGCACCTTGAAAACACTGCCCAAAACACGCACCTGCATCTCGCTGGTTGCAGGTGCATATTTTGGACACACGAGGTGCGCTCACACCAGTGTTCCAAAGAATTGCGGTCATCCAGACAGTCGGCGACGTCCGTGTGATCTTCACTCACATCATCGTCCAAACAGGTTTTCGGATAGACAACTGCAACATGTGTCGTGTGCATTTTTCTGTTTTATGCGCATTACAAGTGAACAATATTCGACAGTTATTGATAATGAGTTGAATTAAGTCTGACCTATCCGACCATTTCGTTTCGCCTAATATAAAATTAGATGGGTCCGAAAAAAACGGTATATCAATACCTAACGAGATAAGGTAAACACACAGTTCGCAGGATTTAAACGTTTTCACGGTCACCAGGCTAGAGCTTGCTTCCTATCGAAGAGAAAAGAAAAATTAGCAGTGAACCAACCCACAAACAGAGCCGATGCGAGTGCCTCAGAATGAATGACGTTGAGAAATGGAACCACCTGGGACCCAGCAATATCATTTAACCAAAGGTGTTGATTAGTGACCAATGCATGGACTAAAGAGAGGGGTTTAAACGAGGTGATGAATAGACCAAAAACAACTGTAAATGAAGGTGAGTGGTGAGACAGGAAACGTCCATAGAACAAGCAATAAAAGCAAACACACCAATGAACAAAAGTACGGAATCAGAAAATCGATGAGTGGGATGTCTGTTAAGCCGACCAAGGTGGTAATGAAAACGTAGACTTACCTCAACAGGACACGTGTCTCCTGTGTGAACAAAAACAGCACTAGTCGTTAGCAATGAGTTTGACAAAGCCGAACGCGAATACAGTTGGATGTGGTATGAAAGCAGTTCGGAAGTGAATAGATTGAAGACGTAAGGAGCAAAAGTTGACCTATAGCTTCAAAAGAAGACTTAGGTGTACTTTGCTGGAATCCATGGAAGACAACAGTTTGTTCTAAGCTAGTAAGCAGCAATTCAAAAGCGTTTAAGAATAAGATAGATACAGCAGGTTAAAGTTTGTGTTAGTTTCACAACAATAGCCAAAAAAGATTCACAAAACCACCAAGAAAACAAGGATACACTGAACAGGTAGTTTTACCTACGCCACGTAAGCAACAGTATCCGGAGAAAGAATGAAATGCAGACGGTATACCGCAGAATGAGTAAACTGCTGTTCGAAAACGCGAATAACTGAACACTTCTCATCGAAGTCGGGCTACCTTAAACCTATGCTGCAACCAAAGGCATGGTAAAAGGAGCTGCCATCAGGAAATGCAATTTGAACGTGTTAAAATATTGCAACAAGCTCACTTTGATAGCGAAAAGCATAGCTGCAAAATGGATGGTAAAGAACTATGATGCCAGAAGCAATTTGCACTCCCATTATATGGCAGTGTGCGTGCCTGTATAAGAAATATGGAGTGTTGCAAAGAAGCTACATTTTCGACGTACTCAATTGTTCAATGCAAGTAGACGAAGGTGCCTCCTCTTGAGATTCAGAAAGATCAAATGTAGTGTCGCTCCGCGTAGGACTTCTGGTCAGTAATAACTCCGACTCTGCAAACCCAAACGATGTTGATTGTGAGTCCCGAGCCGTTGGATCAGAGCCCACCACCTCTTCCAACAGAGCCCAGTTAGGGGGAATAGGGGAAAGTATTTTTGAGGTTAAAAGCACGGGAGAGGTTGGCAAGTAACCACTGCGATGTAACTCGGCCCCACAACTGGTAGTGACAGTTGGCGATTCCGCATTAGCTTGAAGCACGCTGTCCACACCGTTGTCCGACTGCGCTGATTCCTGTGCAGTATGACCATCAACCAAGCCGGAAACATCCTTACTTGGAACGAAGTTTGTGACTGGAAACTCCAGTGAGGTTGAATGCGACAAAGACTCGGAGGGAACAGTGAGACCGAGAACGGGGCTATCGTGGGTACTAAAAGACTGCAGTCCGGCACGGAATGAATATACACGCTGGACAGCAGGTACTGGACTGAACTCTCCATGAAGACGAAGCCTATTCGCAAGTGACTCTTCGCTAGTCCTTTCCATAAAATGAAACTGAAGATGAAAAAAAGAAAACCAGGACCGGTGCCTGCGTGAAAGTCAACAGTACAAGATAAATTCAAATAAGTCTAGTAACTTCAAAGAATTTCCACGTAGAGGGTTTGGTGCTGTGACTGAGCCGATCTCTCATCAGAGAGGAGCCACATATCCGCCGCATCTGACGACATAGACGCAGTCACGGCAGATTTGGCTGGAGCAGACGTGGTAAAGTCAACGTAGCGGCACTGGACTACGCATAGTTCAGCTTTACGGGTCATGCGAGATTAAAAGGCGTCGCGAGGAAAGGCGCAAATTATTAGTGATCTATGCGCACACTCAAAACGGCAACAGCTGCGACTCGGTCAAGGACGAGTTCTATTGCAGGTATCGTCAACTTCTGAATAGAGCTAGCGAACCTGATATAGTCTTTGTTGGCAATTTAATAAAAACGCTGGTCTGTTGTTACGATACGAACATCGCCCGAGTGGCTGTCATGTGCTAACTGAGAGGATCTCAGATGACTGGAACATACCCCTCGTACAGACAGGAGACAATCGCCTGTTTCTCTCAAGAACACACTTCATTACCATCGTAATCACCATCATTAAACACCTTAGCTATAGACAGGAAACATATAAGCTATTGTTCCGCAATACCACTCAAATGAAGGAGAGTAAAAAGAGGATAAAGCAAAACAATGCTTTTAAGGTGCATCTGCAGAGATGGTGATGGTGGTAAAGAGTAAGCGACTGAGGTCTGCGTTTGGCCATGTCAACAAGTGTAACCAACTAAGCGTGTCCGACGATTTTCCGACCACACTCTAGGAGTCGGGAGGTACCAACCGAGACCGGGTTCGAAGGAAGGGTTTTTATTCCCTTTTATCAAGTCATTAGCCTACCTCCTCTTCCTTTCCCCCATCCAAAGCCCGGTCGAGCAAACAACATATGGCACAGCCATGCGAGTAATTCGTGCGTCCAAAAACCGAGTTGAGCAGTTCACTTGTTCTTCCTGTCAAGTTGAAAGCGCCCACTGTTCATGTGCAGATCCCGCCAAATTCAAACGTAAGGTGAGAAGTATTGTCATTTTTCGTTCGCATTCATCAAAACGAATGTAGTCTCAAAGTGACTACACTACCGTCAGTTTCAGACGACTGACAGTATATGGAATTGTAAATAATTGTGGTCCACTCGATTCAAATCATGCGCCGACTTGTGCAAACACCTGCAAATGACGCAGGGTGTTCCCGAAACTAAAGACTGATACGAGCAGGTTAGCTGATCATTGGAATTAGCTGGGAGGTCACCATAAAGTGTATTCGTCTGCGACTTAACCCAGGGGAACCAGCAACGAGTGAGTGCCAGAAAGAGAACTGGTCTATTCAGACCAATCAATCAGTTGACTCAATAGTCATTGTTCTAAACGTTGGGGAGTGGTTCGCTAGCTGTTCGATCGCAGTCGAAAGTTCTCAGCGGATGTCGATCGTAAGCAGCCGTAATAATTTCTCGTCCGGCAATTCAGACAGAACCTGTGTAGTGAATGTGGAGCTTGTTGGCTATAGTTGCTAGCTGCTATATTTTAAACGTTTCTCAAATCCTTCCAGACCACTCGAATTGTGCGTCATAGTGCAAGTGTGACTATCGTCAAGATAAACAAGCGACCAAACAGTAACTTCCGAAGGTGCATAGAAGGCCAAAGCATCGAAACTCCCAATTTAATGAAAAAGAACCATCAGATTGCTTGTCCAGCATAAATAATGGTACGCTCTAAGACATTTCCGTACAAGTAGGTCACAAAGCGAATATTTGTCCCGAGAGCCATCGACCCTAGATGAGAATGGTAAACATCAACGTGCATAACTTGCTACAGCTCTTTCCAGAGATATAATTTGCCTAAACACGAGGGACTAGGTTAATCGATGCCTCTGTTTATCGTAAATCCACCAACAAGACTGCAGTTTTGTGATCATTACAATCCTAGTCAGGTGACAATAGCGGCACCTTCTCACCGCACATGTCTGCAGATAAAACAGTAACGAATATCAGTCAAGTCTGTGTATTAGTCCCAGCCCCCAAGCTGCTTTGATCGACTGAATTTCAGTTAGTTGCCGGATGGGCACCGTGATATAAAGCTTCGAAGTTGTGCGGAGTCAATAGATTCTTGTTTGTCAATGCTGCCTGTACCTTCATAAATTGCGGCGTTTAATAGACGAAAGATGGCCTCTCAGCAACTGAACGAGCTCATTCGTCGTATAAGTTGCACAGATACTGTGGCGCTGGCTGATGAGATGAGACCTTAAACTGAAAAGTTGTCCAATAACGAATTGCATCTGGGTGCAGGCTCCCGCATGGCTGTTACACCTATGTGAAGATGCTGGTCTATTTCTCGCGAGCAGTAACTTTCGAGCCGGCACGCACCAACCTCGAAAAAGCCACGGATGCAAATAGATCCCATTGCAATCAGTTAGCGTCAGTGACTGCGTGAGAAATCACTTCTCGAGTTGAAGTACAAGCGTGGACACCGGCCACGCACTTGTGTGTGGTGTGTTTCGACGGACACTCACGACGACGTTATGGACGTACAGATACTTGCACACTCGCAAAGCGAGAATAAAAAACAAAGAAAGTTTATTCTAGCCTACGCAAGGCACGCTCTTAGAAGCATGAAGTTCTGAAAGTGAATCTGGACCGAGTAACCATCCACTGAACACGGATGAAAATCAATGGTCACATGTTCAAAATGGGTTACTGGTAGCAGTGGGAACTCCAAGTGACAACTGAAGCAACGAAACACTATACAGTCTCTGAAATTTCTCGAAGCTTGCAAACACTTTACTGCTGGAGGCGAATTTGACTAGAGTTGCAAGGTTCTTAGTACAAAAGTGTATGATAGCCTAAAGGGAGATCACGAAGCCTGGCGGTCACATCGTATATCCTGCGTTGTGGATGCGAAGGAACGCTGTATTGGTAACCATCAGTCTCATGTGGGAAACGAGTGGCATGAGACTTGGTGTTAGCTAAACTATATGCAACGAGAGGGTAGGGTCTGTCAAAACGCATGAAACGTTGAGCAGAGAAGTTTAGAAAGTTATTTAAACCGTTATTATCTATGCATATATAATATTAAAAAAGTTGACTGTGCTGACATCAGTGAACAGAATCTTAGGAAGCTACTGCTTTACTAACCTCCACTGTGATCGCAGGATTGTGCCCTTGTAGAGGTGCAGTGGGGAATGAAAAGTCGGATACCACATGTCCCAGCTGGATCCCACCGGCTGCACTGGTGTCGGTAAGTGCGAACAGAGGAGACTCGGGACGTTCTAGCAGCGGTAACCGACGGCGAAATTCGGAAGTACTCTCAGGAGCAGATGGCTTGACGGAATCAATATTCGCAGAGGTGATAAGTAGACTAGGAAGAAACAGCTCCGTACGGCCCTTGGAGACGGATTCTAAACAGAAAAACAAACAGGGTCTCAATCACCAACAGCAGTCACTGAAGCAGTCTCTGATACGGAAACCAGGAGGAATGTATTCCAAAAAGTCAACCAAACTGAGATAACGTCTTAAGAGGATGGTAGCGACACTGAAAAGAAGGAAGAATATATAAAAAAGAAAAGAAAAGAAGGCTGAAACAATAAAGGATAAGCAGATAGCAAGCAGGATTTCATGGCCGCAAGAGAAATCTGCACGAGAAAACGATAAGATAATGCAAGCCGAGGAAAGTGACTAAGGAGTATGCGGTAGATACGACCCAGCCAACTTAAGCAGTTCAACAGATACTTTAGTGAGATATCAAAGGGATTCTTGCCAAACATTATGTGGTGAACCTCAAGATAGCATACCCAGTGTTCACACTAAATGAGGGCAATAAGCTGTAACCGCCAATAATCAAAGGCAGTCAATCGCTTAATGACTACAGCGCAAATTTGTCAGGTCTCTGATCCAAACAGTAACACTGTAGTTATCGCCTGGGATACCCAACAACATCCCTGTGGTGCCAGCTGGATGGTTCGGGACTACCCCGTTCCGGCCAATGTTTCGGAGGCAGTAATCCAGGACGTAGTGCCTTCCCGCCTGACAGACGTCCTCCCTGCAAGAAGCCACCAGTGTCTGTTTAACAACACTGCGACGTGGTGGATGTGGCATCATCATCATCATTACACATTATAACATAAGGTGAGAAACACAACTCAAACATTGCGCAGTATACTACAAAAGAGTAGTATACATGAAAAAACGAAATACAAAAAACCAACAGGCAGTATACTGCTTATTAGTATAGTATGCTTTAACGATGATATCGTGGTTGGAGGGAAAATACAAAGCAATTTAGGTCAGCTCCTTGCCATGTCAACTATTGTATCTAACCAAACATGTTGATTGTCCTTGGGACTCCATCGCGCCAGTCGGGAGACACCAACAGACGGCGAATGTGGCTCGTTAATAAAGTAAGTCGCTGCTCCTTGTTTCACGTCGGTGGAGTATTGTATTCCGGCAGCCTGACGGCGGAGGACCGGGCCCCAGTTTGGCAAATGAACGAAAGACGCATGAACTTCAGATATACGATGAGATGTACGGCCACCTGGTGTCCTATGCCAACGCAAGCGTGGTCCAATTCAATCACACTGCAATCAGCTACAGATGGCAGGACAATGCACGGGACTGTAGACCGATTATGTCTACTTACTTCGGCCAGATCACGCTCTGGCCTGTGCAGACATGCGCTTCGAGGGTACCTCGAAACCAAAGCGTCGTACGCTCTATACCAACAGGTTAGCTCACCTCTTTCACCCAATTGGCTTATTGATGTTCCTTGTTAGATGCGTCCGCTAGTTCGCTGTCTCAAGACATGGAACATTCTTGGAGCTTCTTGCAGAAAGTGATGCTTTCTTCTGATTAATCAATCTGTAGAATCACCGTTCGCTCTCTGAAAAGCTGGATCACCATTTACTTTCCGGAAATGTTTGTCCGTGACCGAGTTATTCCAGCAGATTCAAGTATCAATGAAGTGGGCTACAACCACAAACAACAACGGAGGCAAAACTGGTGTAGTGATCGCGAAAGTAAGTTGGGTTAACGCGCATCAGAGATGAGGACATCGGCTCTCTCTGGAAACTTTACAACGTCTTCCAGATCATTCGCACCACTGACCACAGAAAAGTCGGTGTCAGTGCGTCTATTTACGAGTTTGATGGACAACCGATCACCAATCTGCGTAGGCGCAAAGAATGCTGACTCTTTATGTCCAACAAGTACGCCTAGTTGCATGCCTGGGACATTTCACTGGGACTACCCACGGAAACGGTCCGTCTGTAGCACGGACACTTGAAGCGATTCAAGCCTTCTGGCTCAGACGGACTTCCCCTGAAGCGGCTCATGCATGGTAGTGACGTAATTGTTAAGCAATTAACTGCTATGTTCCCTAAGATTTGGTATAAAGAATAGGTTCCACCCTTATGGGGTGAGTCGATCGGCGTCCTGATATTTAAGAAGGGTGCCCGTACCATACGCATTAAGTACAAAGTAATAAGTTCAGAGTCTATTGCCTCCAAAGTGCTAGCACTCGTTCTAGTCCGTAGAATTACCCCGATTCGAGAACTACACTCCCCCCGGACCCGGTCGAGGGGGTGTAGATAACATGTCGACAGTCCACCATCTCCTTGAGCATCGTCACTTTTACTTTCAGCCTATCACTGGGGTCTTTCTCGACATCCGGGTTGCATTCGACTCAGTCGATCTGCCTGCTTTACGGCGTTGCTTGCAAAAGAGAGGTTCCCGAAAAACATAATGCCAAAATTCGAGCAGAGTGAGGAGATCCGGCAAGCACCTTTTACTTTCCGCCGTTACTAGCGGTGTACAATAGTGGTGCCCCATGTCCCCGTTTTGTTCAATTCTTCAAATGAGGATGTGCTATCGAGCGTTCCGAAAGGACTTCAGGGTTTGGTTTATTCCAGCCAACCCCGCGAGTGACCATGCTGATGATAATGCAAGCGGCTGTGTAGCAGTAGGTTTGCCGCATCCAGTGGACTAAAGCATGATGTACATCACTTTCAGCTACTGTTCCATAAACGCAGAGTTTTCTTGGATTAATGCCGTGGATGAGCTGGAACAGTACTCCACCGTTCCCAATCATGCTGGCTTTCTCAATCTCACAGGCCATTGCCAACCAACCAAAGCTTCAGGCCGTATGCACGCAGATGTTGTTCCAAAGCGACACACCGTAAAAAGATCGTCAAAAAACTCTGGCGTCTCGAACGCGTATCGACCGAGCGCATGTAAGCGCCTGTCTACGCCACACATGCCCTTGAAGACACAAGCCAAAAGGTCGAAACAAGGTCCCTGGAGTCGATTTAGGCTCACACTCGCATTTGTCTTCAGAGGAGTGTACACTTTTTTACATCCAATAAGCACTACACTATACAAATAGAGATACATCATATCTAGTCTCAGATAGACATCACATGCCCATTTTATCCCTTCGAAAACCGTCAGCAGTGCGCATTCCATCTGGCCGCGGTGGGGTTCGAACCAGCAACTTGACTCCCATCAGTCTGTGAGTAAGACCACTAGGCTACGGAGGATAGTAGCGACGGCCGTGACTAAGTGATCAGTTGTGAGATAGTGCCGCTCACTATTCATTGACATGCATGTTACTGTCATGCAGAGGACAGGGTAGTACCTTCACCAAATTTAAGCCGCCAAATAACTTATGGCATTATAAGCCGTTTTGTCTGCGTACTCATTACAAGGGAGTAGGGGGAGTGGAGTGATATGGTAGAGATGCATCAACTCTAGACGCAGTCAACAGAGTGAGTGGCGCCATATCACATCTAGTAACTTAGTCACGTTGGTCGTTACCGTCCCCTGTAGCTCAGTCGCGCGTAGGGTGGGTCAATCACCAGGTCACTCGCACTAACGCTGATTCGAGCCAGTGAACTCCGGATCTGAATGCAAGCGTGTAATCCTTAGACAAAGTACCACCTTGAAATGATAAATGTGCTGAACAGATGGGGTAAATGAACTATATGCGAATAACTGAAACAGTTGGGATAACATGAACTCCGAAAGCGCTAACCGCAGACAGTTAAAAGATTCTGCTGAAACGGTTACCAAGGCTCGGGAAGATTATGGTATCTAATGCTTCACAATAATGCAATAGGTAATAAATCGGTGGATTATTGGATGACTACTAGAAAATGAATGTAAGTAGATATGTTAATGTCTCCGAAACATGACTAGCCAGAAAGAATGAGTGTTAATTGTAATTACAGTTAATAGAATAATTAAAAGCATGCAACCATGAAAGAATTTTATGCGGCCCTCTGATGACAAATAAATTTCGCAACTAGTTTACGAATGCATATAGCAGTTGACAAAGCTGATGGTATACCACGGTAAACAGTTGGCCGTTGCTGGACAAATTCCAATTCTCAGTTGTTGGTGGAATGAATGACAAAGAGATCGCGAAGAGATGGGAAGCTTTTGTGATGCGATGGTTTGTGTGCTACAACGATCCAATGAGGAATGTTGGAACTTTCAATGGTCAGAGACCAGACAAATACAGTCTGATGATCTTCCTCATTGGGGGTTGGAGCGAAGGTGACTCCTTACTAAATAAAACGGACTCACTGTAGCCAGCTCCCGAAAACCCCGCTACTTTGCAGTCATATTTTTAAACCAAAGGCTTTGGTTGAGAAGCTTAATCGTCCTCCTGTCTAGGCGTGAGGAATCTCACAGCATCCTACCTAAAGGATACAATGTATCTTACCTCAAACAGAGGATAATGAACGGCGCTCTGTCTGGTGTGTTGAGCAGGGTTGATAAGGGTGAGGATGTTATCGCTCAGGCTGTATGGTCTTCGTATCGCTCTTCTTGCGTTTTTTCACCCTTATCGTCCCGTTCCAATTTCACATTTACCCTATATTCTTAAGCCCTCCCCCCAAATCTTGTCTCTATGCAACCTTGCTTCGATTGTTAAGGTCTTCTAATTTCGACTCACACACAATCGTAGGGGACCTCCTCTGCCTAATCAACAAATCCATATTCAACCGAGAGTACGTCAGCTCATCCGCCTCTATTTAGAGCCTTCGATTCTCGTTAAGACTGGCATGCCTCAACGTGAGCAAGTTGTCACAGACTGGCCAACAAGCAGCAGTTAAATGAACAGTGGAGAAAGTATAGATTATCGGAAACTCAGCTTCAAAATGCGAGCACTGTACTCATGCTGAGATCAACCACAAACTGTAGCGCTGACTCAGTGAGAGATGAATTCTATCACCAAATGAACGAGGTCCTTCGTCACAGCAGAAGTACGGATGCTGTAGTGTTGGCTGACTTGAACACCCAAGTTGTCCACTAACGAGCTGCAGCTGGGCGGCCAACACGTTGTACGCTTTCGTAATGATAACGATAAGCAGTTGTCACACTTATGTGAAGATGCTTGTCTATTTCTCGCGAGCACAGCATTACAGCAGCAGCAAAAGAGTAGCATCGTACCCACCCGCCTTCGACCAACCACGGAGACAAATCGATCACAATGCGATCAATTACAAGTGGAGTGGCTGTGTCCAAAACGGTCGCGCAATCTGGAGCACAAGCGTAGACTCCGAACATGCAATGGTATGTGAAGATCTGCGAGCGCGTTTCGTCGTCGGCGCGACATAACTCCCTGAAGGTAACAGTGTATAACGCAGCCGCAGGGTCGACAGAGAGGCTACCTACGTTCGATCATCGCGGCCTTCGTAGTTTAGTTCATGTCTTGCAGGAACATCGCGAGTAATGAGCGTGTCCGACGTCTCGTATTTGATGAAGGAAGAGCGAGTGGACTGCTTAGCAACGTTTTATCACACACACTAGGCTCCGATGACTGGATAACCGTTGCGTATGGCAGCACACAAACGCCCGCATCGTGCGTCCCTTGCGAGACCGGGATCTGGATGGAAGAAAATGAGGGAGGCTAAGCGATAACCTGATCAAGAGGAATGAAGTCCCTCACTTCGAATTTGGCGTCAGTTGGTGTCTCCATACTGCCGTATTGGGGTCCCAACGGCCATGGACGCGTTTGGTTGGAGACACTGGTTGATATGACGCAGAGCTAACCACAACGGCGTTCGCGCTGTGAGTTTTCGTTTCTTCCTCCTCATTAACCGCCACCACAAATGACGATCTCATTTCGGATACATAGCGTGATACCAAGTATTATATTAGTCGTTTTTTGGCTTTCTTTTGTGTTCCGTAATGTTTAGTGTCGTCATTTTAGATCTTTGTGTTACAGCATAACAGCTGTGGTGCTTCGCACCTTTAGCTGACGTTTAATGATGATATGATGATGGATCAAATATGGAAGTAGATCGTGAAAACTACTCCCTTCCAGATAGATCGTTTAGCCTAATTGTGCACTGCGTATTTCGCAACAAACGTGAAGCAGCTTGCAACAGTAATCATAACTAAATCTCGAAGAAACTGCGAATAATCCCAGCAATGTCTAGTTCGAGGGGTGCTACATCCATTCTGCTAACATAATTTTCACTTTAGATGCCATAATGCTAAGTTAACGGACATGAACGTGATAAAACAAAAAAGGGAAACTTACTTTTTCGTTTTGCAAGTTCGTAGACCTCCAAAGCTACCCGTTTGGAGTTATTGTTCAAATCACTAAACAACAGATAAGGTAGAATATAGTCAGGGAACAGATCAGGGCTAAGTGATGTATATTGTAATCGAAAGCAAATAAAAAACATGCGAAGCACGTGCACGCAGGAAAAGGCAAATACTAAAAATAAAAAACAAAAGGTCGTCAATTATGTCCCAAGGCATGATAGAAGAATCGGGACTGCGTCCTCGACATCTGTGGTGAGAAGAACGTCATACTTTTGTAAAAAGAGGCCACTTTGATGCTAGAGTAAGGGAGGCGGCAGTGATGATATACTCAAAAGTCGGCTAGCGATACAATCATTATTAACATGATTGCATCAGTACTTACAATTGGTACCTGGCTGCCGGTTAACTACTCATGAAACGATATTTAAAAAGTAGTGGGATGATCTAGTGTAAAACCTGAACGCTCTAAGCAAACATTTGGGGTCAAGACGTCCACACCACACGCCAACACACAGTCACAAACAGATGGTTTACATGCAAGGGTAAGGCAGTATAGGCGATACAGCTATCTTGCGGTCGTTACTGCGTCGCGTCATAAACAAACTTATTTATAGGCAACTCGGTATCAATTTAAACAGTCAGTTTGACTAACAGCAGTAGACTAGCTAATGGTGCCGGTTGCCAGCCATGTACTGCAAAAAAATCTCGAGTCAAGATATGTTGGGTAGACACCAGCCTGGAAGGTGAGAAGGAACAACGGCGCCCAGTTTAGCTGTCAGTGACCTCCTTTCTCGTTGTTAAGTCGAACTTGAACACGTTGAGACTTATTTCATTAGATAATTGTTGAACGAGACAAAGTCCTCCTCCGTAAGTGGTGGCCGGACAGCAACACGCGCCCACGGGGACGCAAGTAATCCAATGCCACTTGCCGCTCTAAAGAACTAAGCTGAATATTACCGCCTAGTACTCGCATGCGCACATCATGTTGCGAACACACTGGTGTCATCCAACACCAGCAATGATCCGCACGCAACGATGGTCGAGAACTTGAAGGCATCTCGGGTCCACAAGCTGAATTCTTCTACGGAAGACAACGACACCTCAATCAAGGTGATCTGAACCTGGCGCCACTGTCGTTCTATTTATGAAAATGTGTGAATTACCTTCAAAAGCCAAGTACCTACGCTGTTGATTTAACTACCAAGGCAGTCAAATTGATTAAGCACTTCCAACTTATCATCGTTGAGTTAAGGGATCATCAAGTGCCTTGTGGCACTGCACTGTGAAGATGCGAAGCGAAAACCAGAGGGTGTGATCACCTTCGAAAGTTTATCCAGGCTTAACTTTGTCATCCTACGGTTGTCAAACAGCGAGATATCGTCGGCGTAATCAAGATCAGTTTTCTTTTTGTTCTTCGAGGCCTGCAAGTTGAGATTCAGCAAGGTGATGGAGACAACGACAAAGTTGAACAAAAGTGGAGAAGTGGAACAAAAATGGCGAACGCCAATTGTTGTTGGAATGGAGTCCGGATAAATTACCACACACCTTGATGGGGCCTGTGATCTCCGAGTACAGGCCACTATAAGTATATATTCCATGGGAGAACCTTTCCGGGTAAATGTCGTACAAAAATTCCCGCTAGGCTGCGGTCACAAGAGTGCAGGCGCGAAGTGAAAAGGAAGAAATTCACAAGATAAACGATCCGGAAAGAAGAAATGTACATGTGGCAGTCATAAAGCGGCGGAATCCACTCCATTGGCATATAGGCGCAAAACAAAACATGAACAAGGGGACAAAGCCAAAACAACCAGGATGCGCCGAACAAGCCGACAGCATGCGTCATGAAGTGGTATTTCCAAAAAAAGCAGTAGCGCTCCATGCTGCATGGATACTCACAAAAGCAAATGCTGGTCCCAAAACAGCTGGCCAGCAGAAGAACAGTGTGTTGTGTGACGTTGATAGGGCTCATCTAACTCGACAACGCAGTAAGCGTTTGATGTACCTGGGGTGAAGTGGGTTTATGTGTGGGTGAAAGGGATTTAAAATGCGCGATACTACAATTAAAATAACGGTGTCCGCGTTAAGGAGTTTCAAATTTTGCTGATTAAAGTTAAACGTCATGTAGCCTAGAGGTAACGACCTTGTAATATTGCGGCTCGGGTTTGAATCCGCGTAAGAGTGGGCGTCCCCGCGGTATACTCAGCCCGCGTGCGACTGCTGGTGGTCGCACGGCAGCGAAGCGCCGTTGTGGCGTACAGATGACACATTTATTATTGTTATTATTATTATTATTATACAAGAATAAGCTGGGCGTTGAGCAGAATGGCTCAACTAAGCAATGAGGTTGAACGCCATACAACATAGCATACATTATTGGAGTAGCAACAAAAACCTAAATTATTTTATTTGGACGCAGCTAGTGTCTTTATTTCATTCCCAGGTACATGGATAAAAAGTCAGTTGCGCTAAAACTAGTCACTAAAGATAAAAAAAGCTTCGTTATGACCACTCTAGGCAGACAGAAAGCATACAATCTCTTGGAGCCAGTTGTGAAGAAGGAGGATATCTGCCGTGCGTTTGATGGACTTTGTCAGCGTGCCCGTATGAGTATCTGATGGTTAGTGTCGATTTACTACTTATTTAGTTATTATTATTATAATCAAACACATGTCAAATACCGGCTACAGGGTAGAGCTCAAGCCGACGTCCAAATCCACACAACAACCAAGCTTCCTAGGTTCCGTCGAGGTTGTAGTGATACGTCTGGTTGCTCACAGAGTCACTCATTTCGCCTTAGTAAGACCTAGAAGACTAGATTGCAATTGATGAAACAGGTAGATATTGGGTGTTGCCCGCCTGGAAACACCGCACTCCACGACGCGTAGACATAGCAGGCATCTAATCCTGGACCATTATTAGGTTACTTGGGGCATCTACCCATTTAGCCAACGGGTCATGACGGGTAACGCTTGGTACAACGGATAATAACTGATTTGAGGGTTATTTTGAAGTACCCACTATTTGTCCACTTTATCGGTTACGCCCACGGTGATCGAATTGATCAAGGTTCACTACAATGAGAATCGCGGTCCATATTGAGATTGCGCGTCGTAATCCAATCACACAAATACTACAAAATCGAATCGCTGTCACTTCACCGCTACGTTGCGGACAGGCATTTAAAGCCAAAGACTGGTTCAGGACCATATTCGTCCTGCTGTCTAGGTCCGGGCGCCCTAGAAGTATCTCAGCTCACGTACAAGCATGACTAATGCATTAAGCTTCAATCACACCACGAATTCGCCACTGCGCAGCTTATCAAGAGTGGCCTTATTTGCTGCATACAACAGAGCAGACAAGCGAAAACGAGTTAGTGCCAGTGCTTCCCATCTTTCATCTCCATCTGCTTCTCGTACCTCCTTCCCGATAACCATTACTAACTTTCCTTCCATATTTTCTAGCTTAGCTGACAACGAATGCAATACTGCTGCAGTTCTGCCATCTGTAGCTATGTTCCCGCATCATCCACTGGACTTCAATATATAAAAACGCTGTCCCGCTTCCCAGGCGTCGTTCAACGTTTATACCCTGACAAAGTCAACAGGCCACACTCGCACACACACTCTGGGTATTGACGTGCGTTGCGAAAATAGGACCAATGATCCTCACATGGTTGATGAACAAACTGCACCCGACTTGTCCTCTCGCTATGGGATACACGCACACAGGGACACTGACGCGGTAATCACTGGTCAAGCTGGGTTGGGAATCGCTCTCAGCTACAAGACCAAGTCATCGCTTGTTGTTTGGATACCTGTGAGCATTTATCTGTGCTCAGCCAGTTTGACTAAATCAACTAGGGTTGCTGCATGTCTGTGGTTGCCATGATGCCTCCGTCGACTGTAGTTCTGTTGCTGTCAGAAATATTTTCTACCATGAGCTGTACACGCTGCTTCGCAATGTAACTAGTTCAGACATCGCTGTTGTTGCAGGGGATATGAATGCGCAAGTAGGCCGTATGGGCTCTTCAGAAGATCAGCTGGGTGGTAAGTACGTCTTAACCACGACCAGACGGACAACGAGGAACATACGCTGCAACTGTGTGCGGAGCACTGGTTGTTGCTTTGTAGTATCAAAGTGGCGCCAAAATGTCACTTAGCGTCAAAATAAAGCTCGCCAGCGACGGACCCAAATACATCACGTTGTCATTAGCTACAGGCGGTTCCACTCTTGAATGCCACTCGTTCTGGAATGATTGCGTCGACTTTGACAATGATTTAGCACGCTGTCGTACTTCCACGAAGTTCACTGGAAAGTGTATTAAACGCCTCTTGCAATTGGCAATCGTGAGGTTATCCCAGTCGTCGATCACGCAAGAATACCAGGATGCCCTGCGCAACTGACTTTTGCTCCCTCGTGCAAATAACACTATTCCAGTGGAACAAACCTCGGTCGCTATGCACGACGCGGGAGCCAATGCTTGTAGCACTAATAGTCACCGCATCGATCACTGGATATCCGAAAGGTAGGTGAACCCTTGGGAATCCACAAAACTCCCGGCTGGATCTGAGCACAATGTGACCAACGGATTATTAGAATTGAACTAAAGCGGAGCATACGTGCTGACAAGAAAGCCTGTTGGACTTGTAGGGCTCAAGAGATGGAGGAGGCGGGAGTAGTAGGCAATAATCGCACTCTTTCAGCTGATCCGAACCAACTGTCCCAGAAAAACATCACCATCATCAATACACGTTAGTTGAGGATGAGAAACACACCTCAACTAATATGCCGCAATACAAAAAGGCAAGGTACAAAAAAGTAACACTACAAAAAATTAAAAGCAGATAACATAATGCTAAATAGTATATTATGCATTTCATATAAGATTGGAACTGGAAAGGAATTTAAAAGGGACGGGGATGGACAAAGAAACTCACAACACAATTGCCATTGGGGTCGGCTCTTCGTCATATCAGCAAGTGTGACCAACCAAACGTGCCCATCGTCCTCCGGACCCCAGCCAGGCAGTCCAGATGCACCAACCAATGCCAAATTGGAGGTGAGGGTTTTCGTTTCTCTCGACCAAGTCATCGTTCGGCCTCCCCTCCTTCTCTTACAACCGCACCCCCGGCGCGCAAACAACGCACGCCGCGGGAGTCGGTGTGCTGGCATGCGCAACAGGTGGCCAAACCATCGGAGCCAGGTGCGTGAGCGATCCACTCGCTCTTCCTTCAACAAATACGTGAGGCCGAACGTGCTCATGGCTCACACGGTGCTCTCACCAGACATGAGCTAAGCTGCAAAAGCAGCGATGAGGGAACGTGACCAGCCTCTTTGTGTCTGTTGATCTGATGGACTAGGTTTCACAACCGTATAAGAGGGTTGAACGGACAGCTGCATTATAAACTCTGCCCTTCATGGTGAGAGTGATATTGCGTCTGCGGCACAGGTGGCAGAGACTGGTAAAAGCACGTCGAACTTTTGCTCTACAGTTCGTCATCTCATCTTCGATCTCACGGACGCTAATATAGCTACCCTGATATTTGGATTCCTGAATGACTTCTAGCTGACCACCACCAAGCGTCATCACATGGTTGGGTTCCTGCCAATCTTGGAGAAGTATTTCGCATTTCGATGGAGTAAAGCATAGTCCAAAACGATTGACAGTCAGTGCCAATCGGTCCAATGCGGTTTGGTACGTTTGGGAGCTATCACAGATTAGGGCAATATCAGCATACTCCAAGTCAAGAAGTCGATCACCAGGAAGTAGCTCCACACCTAGGTAGTGTCGAACGCTGTTTCGATGACTTCGTCAATAGCGAAGTTAAATAGGGAAGGTGACAGCGGGCAACATTGTCTAACACCGCTGGAGATAATGAAGGGCGGCGACAGTTTGCCAGGAAAAAAACAGGTGTTAACGAAACACTCAAAGACATCGCGGGTGTCCTGATTTCAAATAAGGAGCGCCGTATGGATCGTTAGACCCTTGCTTCTGGACCGCTTCCCACTCAGGTGTTGCAGGCTGAGTCATGACCACCTCCATCGGAGACTGATGTCCGAAACTCGATTACAGCCCTTAATCGCTTTCGAGCTGCTGGCCCAAATTCACTCGCACCTGCACTATTTAAGGATAGTGGTGTGGTCCTCGGCAGAGCACTGACCACCCTATACGAACAGGTATGAAAAGAAGAGACTATCTCAGCTAACTGGAGTGAATCGATTATAGTGGAAATGTACAAAGGCAATCACACTGATTGCGCTAAACACATCCTGACACCAACCGTGAGAAAATTACTGACCTCAATTTTCGTTCGTTGCTTCACTGTGGAACGGGAATCCCGGATTCGGGAAGAGCAAGAAGGATTCCACCCAGTACGGGGCTGTATGGACCACATATTAACTTTACGACAGGTGCCAGAGCAGTGCCACGTGTACCGCATGCCAACAATAGATGTGTTCCTCGAACTCAAGAGGGCGTTTGATCCAGTCGATCGATGCATTCTGTCCGAATTGCTTACGCGGAAAGGTGTTCCCGTGAAATATGTGAACATTTTACGTGCTCCGCAAGGTCTCCGGTGACCAGCCGGATATCCTGACAACAAGTGGTCTTCATAAGCGTTGTCCAGTTCCCCTATTTTTCAATTTTGCCGTGGACTCCATCATGGAGTGTTCCCTGGCGGAATCTTACAAAGCAGGCGTTGAGGTGCTGCTTGGTGAAAAGCTAGTTGATCTTGGTTATGCGGAAGATATTGTCATGCTGTTAACGATGTTGGGCGGCCCAGTAAACCGTCAAGAAGCTCACTAGAATGATCCCATCATTCCGGATGCGCTTCGCCCAATCAAAGTACAAAATGTTGTTGCAGGACCACCAGCCAATTGATGATCCACTGGCTCTTGAAAGCGAGGAACCTTGAGTAGCTGGACACAAAACTTACATTGGCAACTGCATCAGCAAGAACGCGCGCATAACCACTGAAGTCAGTGCACGAATTGCAAAAGCCA